ATTTTTTATATATCAGATTTGTTTAAAACAAATACACTCATAACAAGACAAGGTAATTGAAAAAATATATATTTATGCAACATGTTCGCGTTAAGATAATTAAAACAGTTTTAGTTGCTGATTAGTAACTAAAGCAAATTAAAAACAGTTTCCAAAGTGTGCTATAACCACAGAATTCAAGTCGTTTTTAAACATTCATTAATTTTTTTAACACTGTTTTATTAACATTTTTTATGATCATAGCGCGACTATCTCTATCGAGCTGTGTCCGTTGCAAAGGTCAAACAAGTAATTAGATTGTTATTTTGTTGCCGTGCAGCAGTCGGATATTGACGATTCGGATTATGCGGAGAACAGCCCGGAAGCCGAGATAATAGCACGCGGCCGACTATCTGGCAGAGTGTACAAGGAATATTTTCACCACGGCGGCAACTACTTTACCCTGTTCATGTTGCTGCTGCTCTTCGTTATCAGTCAGGTTGCCACCTCAGGGAATGATTACTGGCTCTCGTACTGGACCAACTTGGAGACTGTCAGGCACATTAACAACACTAGTGAGGTCAAAGAGTTCGCAAACATGTACAACGACAGTTTCCTTGGGTCGATCTTCACGCTGAACTCAGACGGCTTGCTCAGTACTGTAGATGCTATATACGTATACACATTCTGCATCATCGCCTGTACTGTTACCACGCTGCTCCGGAACTTCCTCTTCATGAAAATCTGCGTGAACTCGAGCTGCAACCTGCACAACTCCATGTTCTCCAGTCTGGTACAGGCGCGCATGTCCTTCTTCCACATTAATTCTTCTGGTGAGCAGTAATCGTGAGATCACAATAGGCAAAGGAAATTGTGGCGTCGAAGAGAAATTTTGAAGAGTTTACGAATTTTTAAATCCGGAAGAAATAAGACTAACAAATTTTAGTCGAGTTCGAATTTATCGAGTGGTTCTTATTTTATACTTATTCATAAAGATATGCGGGACGATTGGCATAGATCCTTTTACGGATATTTATAGTAAAAAATCTGAATCATCGAAACAACGGTTTTAATTTCCAGATTTCTGTTAAACCTTTGTTTAAATTTATCGGTTTTTTGTTCCAGGGAGAATTTTAAATAGATTTTCGAAGGACATGGGCACTATGGACGAGTACCTGCCCAAAATCATGTTAGGGGCGCTCCAAGTGTTTTGCGTAGTATGCGGTATATTCACCATAGAAGTGATAATTAATCCATGGATGCTCATACCGATAGTAGTACTGGTCATCTTGTTTTACTTCGTGATGATATTCTACCTCAAAACCACTCAAAACGTCAAACGTCTCGAAGGCGTAAGTAAGTATTGGAACGAGAAACTCTTTATTAAAAAAGAACGAGAGGGGATACGCGCGACTCATTTCCTTAACTCTTATTTAGATTCCGTTTGACTTTTGCCATCAAACTTGGATCTGTATGTTTTCACGCAGAATTTGTAAGTTCCAGTTTATTTGCGTTTGCGTTTTCAGCCAAGAGCCCGTTATTCTCGCATGTCAATGCTACGCTGAACGGCCTGCCGACGATTAGAAGCGGCGGCGTCCAAATCGAGAAGATGATGCGAAAACAGTTCGACGTGTTCCAAGACCGTCACAGCGGCACGTGGTACCTCTTCTTATCAAGCTCGTCAGCCTTCGGTATTTTTACCAATCTAGTCATGTGCCTGTTCCTTGCCGTGCTTTGCTTCTCCCTAGTATTGATGAGCAAAAATGGTAAATTATATAATTATGTAAAACATTCTTATTAAAGATTAAAATATCCTTCACAACTTTGAAATATTTCGAGAACATACAAAAAGCTCCAACAAATTAATAGAATCTTTCGATATTTAAGCAATTTTTTATTTCCGCGAGTGATTAGTATATAAGTTGGAAAATACATTTCGACAATCGTGAGGAATCTTCGAGCTTTTACTAATCCTTCCGTTCATCTTCATAATACAGACAGTGTAGAAGACAGACAGGTAGGTCTGGCAATATCGCAATCGTTGATCTTGATCGGTTGCTTGCAATATGGAATAAAGCAATTCATCGAGACGATGTCGCTGATGACCTCCGTAGAAAGAGTTCTTCAGTACACAAATCTTCCCCAGGAGGGACCCATTATCTCGGACAATCCGCCGTCGTCTACATGGCCGTCCCAAGGACAATTGATCTTGAAGAACGTCAGCATGAAGTATCACAGTGACGATCTACCGGTCTTGAAAGTAAGTGAACCAATCGTTCATTTTTGCAGACACTTTTTGTGTTTTATCACGCCGTCGCGCTTCGCAGAATCTGAACGTATCCATCGAGCCTGGCTGGAAAGTTGGGGTGGTGGGGCGAACTGGCGCCGGCAAGTCTTCCTTGATCTCTGCGCTCTTCCGTCTATTCAACGAAGGTCTGAAGGGTGAGATTGAAATTGACGGTCGGGATACGAGCACGGTAGGCCTGAGCGAGCTGCGCTGCAAGATCTCCATTGTACCTCAGGAACCGGTGCTCTTCTCCGAGAGTCTGCGCTACAATCTGGATCCGTTCAGTCAGTACGATGACGTGAAGCTGTGGGAGGTGCTGCGGCAGGTCAAGCTGAACGATACCGCATTGGATCAAGAAATCTTTCATGGCGGTCACAACTTCAGCGTCGGCCAGAGGCAGCTCATATGTTTGGCCAGGGCTATTCTAAGGAATAATCGCTTGCTCGTTCTCGATGAGGCCACGGCTAATATTGATTCGCAGTGAGTCTCGACGATTTTTAGCAATAAAAATGTATTATAATATTGTTTAATAAAAATAAGATGGTTTATTGTTTGGCTGATGGTTAATGAAAGAATAAATTATCATTAGACACTTAAACATTTTTTTAACGAAATATTAATTTTCCAAATAATTCACTATTTCTCGGTATGCGGTGAAATGATGATTTATTTTGTAATAAATTAAGAGTTTAGAAAAATAACAAAAGTTTTTAATTAAATCAGATTTTCAGTAAGAGTTTCCAGTTCTGTGGTTGTAAAATGCTGTTGTGTTATTGATTTTTGAATCTATTTGTGAATTTTCCCTAAATTTGTACTTCTTTTTCTAGCACCGATGCTTTAATTCAAAACAC